TATATATATATTTTTTAAAGAAGTTACCACACACACAGAGAAACAATTAGATGTATTTCCAGCTTACCCAGGCTATGATTAACTGGAGAAAGAGTACTAGGAGACAGCTCTGCTGGAGATCCTGTTGAAGCAATACAGAGCACATGATTTCAGTGCAAATGATTCTTGTTATTTCAGATGGGTAGGTATAACCATTATCTAGATAGTTTTTCTAGATACAGTTTTATACTAAAATTCTTTGGAATAAGAAGCCTCAGAAATCCTACAACCAATTTTCCAGCATGTCTGAATTAAGATTACATTTAATTTTCCAGGCTCCTGGGAACCTACCCCTCCTCATAAAGATTCAATTAACATCTTAGTATTTGTTGTATTTGGCAGAGGTCTCACTTCACGTGCACTCTGTGACCATGACTTTATTTATGCATTTCTCCAGTGAGAATGTAGTGATTCCTTCCAAAATTCAATGCAAAAAAAAAAAAAAAAAAAAATATAAAGTGGGTAAAACAAGCAGGGTACTGCCTCTCTGTTCTCAAAGGAGAGTGTTTATCTCTACAGAAGAACAAGCTGGATTTTCTCTTTTGAGGAAATTACTCTTTCTTGGGAGAAGGAATGAAAAAAACAATCAGAAAACCATGTACTCTCAAGAGCAATTTCCACACTAGTAGATAAAATAAAGAGAAGCTTTGCACAGAAACATACCTACAACAACTCCTGCTGTGAGGCTTTTTTAACTAAGGTACCTACTGTCACATAATGAGAAAATACCATAGCTCTTACAGAAACTAGTGCAGTTGATTCCAATTAACTGAAAAAGGTTGATAACATTAGCTAATCAAACACAAGTCTGCCAGCACACTGCAGGGCATTCTTACCCAGCACATTAACTGTGCTTCGTCTAAGGCCAACCAAATTATGTAGAAACCCTTTCATACAAAGGTACAGGCACTTAACATTTCTACTACTCTTCCACTGGAGCCTTCCATACAAGAACTTATTCAAAACATGGCAGAAGTGGTCAATTAGGAGACGGGTTCCCAAAATGCAACATCTCTGTGACTTGTTTAGACCAGCAGACCTTTTGCTTCAATGAGCCTCTGTCAAGACAGTAAAGTCAGGGGTAGGTTGAAACTAGTTAGCTATTAAAATCTATTTTAAGCCTTTCCAGTGAAGACCTAATTAGACCTGTAATGCTTTTGTTATGAAGCAAATGAAATGCACTTAATACAGCACAGAATATTTTAAAAGCATTCCCTTAGCAAAAAATTACTTTGTTCACAAGAGATTGGAAGTGTTATTTTAAACAGAAAACACCAGGTTATACATACGGGTATTGCCATCAGCATTCAGGCTGACTTCAGGCTGCTGCACATAGGGTTCACAGCTAGTAATACAAAGTCCTGAAAGTAACAAAATTTAAACGTTACCTGTATCCATGCTTTGGTTCAACTGTTGGTCACTTGTTTCTCCATCTTCACTAATATATCCTGGAGGTGGTGTTTCTGTTAAAAAAAAAAAAAACAAACACCAAAGAAAAAACAAACAAAAATCCACCTATTCGGTCAATGATTGGGGAAATCTACGGGATGTAGAATTTGGCATTCTTGTCCTCAAGTCTTCATGAGCTTCATATCATACCTGAATACTGAACTAGAATTTAATTTTGCTGTCTCTCTTCCAGTGGGTCAAAAATATTACTTGACTACGTAAAACGTACCACCTTTTGTATTGCCAGTCAGCTGCTCAAACATGTTATGTAATTAGCAGATAATCCTTGTTTGTTCCATTACTTTCACTACAGCGAGTAGCAATTTTGCAATTGTAATCATCAGATTTCATATTTAGTAGAAATATAAATGAAATAAACACCCATTTGGTGACTTCTACAAGAAAAACCCAACCAACCACCTAAGCTGTCTTTATGTAGTGTAACTACCAGATCAGATGCCCTCCCACAGCTTATATAAGTTTCTAGACTTAAGTGCTATTTTTCAGCTCAGTCCCCAATCAATTCTTCTTCACTACAGAACAGTCAATTCCATTGATTAATAACAACTATATTATCTAACTGTTACACAGGCTCTATCATTATTATTACCTCCAAGCTCCACGAAAACTACAGCCTATTCTCTTATAACTAGCTTTCTTAAAGATGGAGTTTCACAGACCAAAGTAAGCTCAGGAACAAGTCTGAAGCATTCTGATACTAGCAACTGTGTCTAATTCCACAGAAATACCTTCAAAACCCAGGAGAGAATGGATATTCCTCTTCTCCATTCAAAAAGTGCTTTGTAATCCAGATAATGAGTTAACCAACTGCCTTTCAGGAAATAATTTTCTTTGAACTGGGCAAATGTCTTTTCCTATATATTAAACGCAAAACCTGGATTTCTTTAGTGAAAGCATTTGAAGCTAACTATCTCTACAATCTCCTCAAAATTGTCTCCGAGACATCTGAAGGATTAAACACATTTAATTACATTATTACCAAACAGTAGAAACTTAAAGATAAAGCCTTTTGCTTAAGAATTAAAATCAAATTATATCAAATATCATGTCTGAGATTTACAGCAATATAATAAGATCAGACGGAAGCCAGCGAGAGGAAGCTACATCAAGTCAGTTAAATAAAAATGAACCAGAAGAACAATATCTTCGGTTCATTCTGTAAAACTAGTGTGCTAAATATAGATGTGACAAAATTCAAGTGAGAATTTAAAAGGACAATTAAGGGGAATCTTTGCTAGGAAAAAGTTTGATGACAAAAATCATACTTGTTTTGAATATTTTTATAGAATTCACTGTGATAAAGTGGACTCCACCCATCTCCAAATCATTTGTTATAGTTAAGCTCACAGCCATGGTAAAAGGTTAATAACCATTTCCAATCCAACCCACGCCTCTTGTTTCCAGTTGCTAATCTAGGCTCTCTGGCACAGATTATTTTTCACATGTAGTCTCTCTTTGAACACAGAAGATTTCCTCCACCTAGTATTATTAATACTGTTTTAGGGTCAGGGGTTGAGCACAACCACAGCTGGAAACAAATGCCCAAGTGCAGCATTAGGAACTTTTAGCACAGCTTGAATGTTGCCAGAAGTCTGGGCAATGCAGCTCAGCACATCCATAACCTATAATGGGAACGTACAGCCCCAAAGGCTACCCTGCATCTTTATGACTGCCATCTTCCCAGCTGTAGGTAAAATCAACTTCACTGTAGACCAAGTTCTAAAAGAGTGCTATGATGAGAAACTACCACAGTTGTGGCAGCCTACCGCTACGGAAAACGGTCCTCTGAAACAGGCTGTCAAGAAACACAAGACTTACCAGAACCCAGCTAAGTATTCAAGATTAAGTTAGGGAGGTCAAAGTAAGATGCCAAGATATGAACACAACAGGAGGGTGTCAGTGACAAAGAGAAGGAGGCAAGGTGTGGTTAGCTGCATAAACATTGGAAGATCACATGAATACCTGCAATCACCTTGATCAGACTTCCTGCAAATAATACCTAGTTGCTTTAGCTTATTTCAACTGCAATGGATTTTCAAACGGTGGCTTTCCAGCAAGTTGTTTGCAAATGCCAGCAAAAGCCCTCACACCGAGTCAAAAAAGTATACATAAGAATGCAACACTAGCTTCTAGCACCTTAAATTACTCTTTAAAGATTTGTTGTCCCCAGGTGGCAACAAAGTGGCACACACTAAACATAAGATCAAATTAACTGAATTTTTTTTGGTGCCATTTCAATTCTTGTATATATTTAAAGAAAACACAACCAACATCCCAAGATGTTTAGATACATCTCAAACTTGCACATTTTATGTATCTGAATTTCAAGGGAGCCATCTCATCCTTAGAGAGTCCAGATCTGAATTTTCAGCTTGTTCATAACATAGCAGCAATAAACATTTATGAGTAAACTTCAGGTTTGCTTGGTTTTACGCTCCAGGCAACTTCCTGAAGAGACAGGAAACAGGAAGCTGGGCAGGAAACAAAGGTCACTGATTTTATGTTTCAATAAGGGTGCAGACTTTCGGGTGCACTGAAGCTGATTAGTCTTGCTATTTGTTTTGCAGTGGGGAACAGGGAATTCTTTAGGAGTTCAGTATTGTTAGGTTGTCCCTTCATACTGAAAAGACTGCACACAATAGAAACAAATACACAAAGCAGACCTTGATCGATTGTGAACTACAGCTCGAAACACTCTAAGTCACTGTTTTGCAACTTAAGAGTTTTCTCCACATACTGTATGTGACAAGATTGAGCAGCACTTTACTACTCAATGTACAATACACAGCATTTGGCAATCCCTATATGGTTGTAAACCAGGCTTAAAGCATAATGTGAAGGTCTATTTTGCACTCATTAGAATTCTAAATCTTAATTAAGCTATTGAAACCAATTAAGCTATTGTGAAACCACAGCAATATGTTTTCACACAGGATTGTGTTCTGCAAGCAATACTGTTCAGGTATTTCCATTGGAATTAATACACAACATCAACTAGATTTAATTTACTGGTGCATCTTTCAAGTAATTTGATCACTTAGGAGCATGAAATTATCTTTGTACCAGTGACACAACGCTAAACATACTGTGTAGAGTGGGAGCTAGAAAACATACCTGGTATGTAATTGCTCTGTGGCTCAATTCCAGCTGGAAAGTTAGTGTTTTCAGGAATGGAATGGGTATAGTCGTCAAGAGGTGGAAGCTCTGTCAGAATCTCAGTGTGCCGCGGCACTAGCACAGGAGGCAAAACTGGAAAAGCAAATTTCAAAGCATTAGCGAGACCCTCAAAATAAACACTTCTGTGAGCTAAAAGGGGAAAAAAACCAAACCAACAACCAAAACCTCTAAAAATTTCTTCAGATATTTTTAGATTTCCTAAATCTCAGTTCTGCTATTACTGTAACTGTACTGCTAGTTACTGGAAGAAACAAGTTTGAGGTGCATCTTGAGCGAGACTATTCCACAAAGTAAGTTGTGTCTATTCTCCTTTTCAGTCAGAATCATACTTAGCCAGCTGGAAACTGCTAGCAGTACTGGAAGTGTTTATTGGGAGTATTCAACATATTTGCAAAGATTTTTCAGTAACTTTGCTATTAAAAGCTTTCAAGGGATAGTATTCTCAAAATCTGCATCTTTAAGAATCTTGTAATTTTGGCAACAGAAAGCATCATCTTGCTCTGTTTTTCATTTAAAACATTATGCTGAACAAGTTTGTACCAGTGCTGCTATAGAAAGTCAGAAGCAGTCCTCCTACCTGGTGTCTCCACTCTCTGGTAGTGATAAGGGTTTACACATACTTCATCCTTTTTAAGATTAAAAGCATATTCACAGTTTTCAATTGCTTTAAGTTCATGGTGGCTGTGAAGATCTGGCCAGCGCCACAAGCGACAGTAAATAACATGCGGTAATCCTTTACGATGAGATACCTGCAGACGGCCATCAAGGGATCTATAGGGCAAAGATGTTGAGAAGTATTTACAGACTGCATGCTGTCTCTTAATCGCTTAAGCAACTGTGTACACACACGGCATGGGTAGTTTAGTTATTCTGAGAATTCAGTGGGTTGACACTGCTACTGACATTTATACTCCTGTTAAAAGGCATCAAATGGGATAGAAATGATGGTATCAAGCAGTGTCTTAACTTATTTTTGAGCTGCTCAAATTACTGCCAGTGAATTCAGACTTCATTAAAAGTCACTTTACCTCCAACCAAGTATTTAGGATGATTGCTTCGTATACTTCTTTTAATTCAGAAGACAGTTGTTAAGAAAACAAATAATCACACACTTTAACAGTCCCTTCCGCTGCTAAACCTCAAGGCTTTGCTGTGGCATGGATGTTTTACGGCTTTAAGCATAAGAATTCCCACTGGACTGCAAATAAGCCTATAAGCAGTCAGCTGCCCAAGTGATCCACATGACAGTATAACTAACACAAAAAGCATGAATGCACATCTTGTAAGGGCTGCACAGTTTATCTTCTTGACTTCGTCTGCCTTGCTGCCAGCTGAAAATGTTTTGCTAGTTTTAAGACAGACTGCATATGCTTACACAAATGCAGATGTTTATGATTGTTATGGGATGGGAGACAAACCTCAATACACAAATCAAGTAATGTGACATGAAAAAATAAAGACCCTGTTTAGAATTTGCCCACCATTAACTACTGAAGAATTTACAGACAATTCTTTAGTAGCTTGTATCTGAGCCAATTAGCAAGATTTAACCGAAAGCTTGTGGCATACAAAGCAGTTTAAACACTTTGTAAGATTAGGCCTAAAGAATTAAGTTTCCCCAACTCTGTTAATATAAATACCAGATCACATTAGAGCTTGCATTTTACAAGTCTTCCCATTCTTTCAATAGCACTGGTGTGAAACAGGAATATTGCAGAATTAAGAGTTTCATTGGTCAAAACATCAGCTGAGAACACTTGGATTTCTACACTGGCAAGCAAGTATTTTAAAATGCTGTACCATGAGAGGCCCTAGGAAGCATTTTTGTCTTATTTTACAACTAAATCATCCCATTACAGACCCTCCAAAGCCAATCCCTCCCACAAGATTTCTATGATGCGAGAGAGGGCAGAATATTCACCTGGTTTGTTCACAGAAGCTGTAAAGGCCTGCTGTATCCCACTGATCTATCGTGTTTGGTGTACTCAGTCCCCAAATTTCAGAGCAAGTGCTGTGCATAAATTGAAAACAAAAACAAAAAATTGATATGAATATGGAACATGGTTATTCAAAACACCATGATGTCAAACATGGAAAAATGTACAGAACACTTCCTTTCACATAGAAGATAGAGCATTGTTAAGCTTGCATTTAAAAACTGACATTTCATGCTATATTTTCTATATGAAGGAGGCTATCAAAATGGAACACGTGATTCAAGGTAAATGATAATGTTTTTAAAAGGTGAACAAGTTCTCTGATTTTAAGTAGTCAATACAGTTGTAATGTTCCTTAAAACAGGCAAAACTTCCTCAGCCTAGGTCTCAGCAAAATTCATTTTTAACGGTGGTTTCCGTGCTTTTTTTGTTTTTGTTTGGTTTTAAACATAAAGCATCCCTACGACTTCAAACAAAGGCCATCCAAAACCAAGTATCACAATCTAACTCTCAGGTACCACCAACTTAAGCATCACTCTCCTTCTCCATGCACATACTCATTTGCTGCTTTTCCCAAAACAGGAAAATTCGGACTCTGAAGAAAAGAACGTTATAGCTGATACTTCTCACCATTTTCTGTACTCTCCATAATTGAAGAACTAGATATTCTTTTCCATAGTATACAAAACACCATGTTTAACACAGGTTTACTTAAAATAGTATTTTAAGGCTCAACTGTAGAATAAAACTTTACTCGCTAAATCAAACAGGAGGAAAGGAGAAAAAACTAATTCTTTCCCAAACTGATTCAATTACAAGGTCACAACAGGAAAGCAAAAGGAGCCTTCAGTCACAGGCACAAAATAAAAGCAGCAGCAGATTTAAGCAAAGCAAGAAAACAGCATGGGCTTATAAATGGGCAGCAGACTTTCAGAAGCATAAATCAAGCTCAGCCCTACCATATACTTGCTCTGCAACCATTGAAAACTGTCAGTTTATTTTATATCAGTAATACACAACTAGACTTTGCACCTTAAAGAGAAGCTGGTTCACAACTAATTTCCATCTCCGCTTTGTTATTACAATGCCTGAAGTTTGACTGGCTGCTACATTGCTTTGAAAACAAATCAACTCTGTAAAGAGGCAACAGAAAGAAAAGACTCCAAGTTCACCAAAGTCCTAGTTTTAAATATAGGTGTTGTGAGATTTAAATTTAAACTACTAAGCTTGGCTGATACACTTACAAGTTTGGACTGAGTCCTTAAGAGAAGAGAGGTGAGGTAGGTCTTTTTATTTCTCCTCCCTACACAGGGAGGATTTGTTAGTGTTATGAAAGAAAAGACCAAAGAGCACAGCACTGTACTTAAAACCACATTCAGGGCTGACACCCACCTCAATTCCAGTGATTTTAATAAAACAGAAGCGTGGGCTATTGATGAAGAGAATCAATGGTTCTTGTTCCCATCTTGCCTGTCCATGAGATGCCTCATTTCTAATACCATCCCAGGGAGGCTGAAGTTTCCATACAATTGAGCAGTAACCCAAATCACTAAATTGGCTATCTGACCACAGAAGATACCTGATGAAAATTTATGTTTTGAGAGCTAGTTTTCAGCCACATCAGCTCTTCTGTTCACCGTGGAGCTACACAAGCACTACAAAGGTGGAGTGAGAGTGTAATTTTGGGCAGCAGCTTGCATTTATCACAAATAAAATCATTACATATAATATGGCCTTTGACATTTTACTGATTACAGACACAAGTAAAATCTCATACTAGATGGCTTTTTGCCTAGAGAGCAGCAGAGAGCCACAAAAGGGCCTATTTTCTGACATACATTCAGCTCTTCAAAAAGCCAACTCTCCTGAACAAGCTACATCTATCTCAGACACAGGCACCATCACAGCTCTCCAGATAGAGTGGGATGAAGAGGGATACTGACCATCGCTGTGCCAGCAGAGCCTGTAACCTCTTTTTCATCTTCCCAAAATGCCTCCAGGACAGTGGGGTGCCAGAAGCTGTGTAAGGATTGAAATAGTTGCCCTGAAGACATCCAGGCAGCCTGTGGGACACTGGGGAGCATCCCTGCACTGTATTGTGTCCTTATATATGCACCACCACTGCTGGTAAGACAGATCGTCATGCACATTAAATAAGAAGAGCAATCAGTAGACACAAAGCCTGCTGCATATTAATTGACAGAGTCAGCTCTGACAGCGTACTACCTTTGAGCAACAGATCCTTTATACAAAGCAGCACTCCAAAGCTGATGCTGTCACTCAGATTACACGTTCCCCAAATTGTGGTGTGCATCACTGGTGCAAGCATGACATGCCACGCACTTGCTTCACAAGACTGTTAAGACAGCACATGCAAAAGTAAAACTTCACAGCCCCTGACAAAGCATAATGAACAAGAACAGTATTTTATATTGCTAACCTCTTCTCTCTATAAATATTCAAACTATCAAAGCTGATAGCAGATTCTACAGCCTATGGAAAGAAAACCAGTACCCTGAAGTGGCTGTGTGATGGAGCTGCAGCTTGCAATGAAACTAGGACACCATGGTGTGAGGGCAGGCTAGGAGGTACGGAAAAAGTGATCAGTTAAGAGCAAAACTGCTCTGATAATCAGCAGCTTATATGATATGCTGTCTTCCAGGATGTCTGTCTGCTTAGAGCTCAGGTTAGTATCAGTGTTTTACTGGCTCATCTATTCTAGGACTCTAAGCAAACCTCCAGTCATCTGCAATCAAATACTGAAGAGCATGCAGGAAATCATCCAACATGATCAATAAAGTCAGCTGAACACAGCTTTTACTGTTCACTGGAAAAAACATTGGAGGAAATAAAGTGGTCTCCCCACTTCCCTGCTCAAATAAAAGATTCACTGCCTAAAAGACACGAGACCATCCCCCCCACGTCACCCAGACCGTAAAGTAGGGCTCTGAATATTCACATGCACACCAAGTCAAAATTAAAAGCCTCACAACAGTGAAAAGCGTATTTCATACACACCACTCCCATGAAAGGCCACAGTATGCTCATTCATACACAAGTAATAGCCTGATAGAGGGCAGACTCGTGTACTCATCCCTGGCAGCTAGAAAGGCGACTGAGTTCTGAATGATGTTCAAGCCATCTAAAAGGGAGGTACAGACTTTTCAGTAGTATGGAATTACTGCCCCAAAATAACTAGGAGGCATTCTCTCCTAAACCTCCCTTTCTGAAGTATACTAAACCCCTTGTGATATGAAGAGTCCTTCTATGCCTTAGTCCATAAAGAATTCAGAAGATTCAAGGACTAACATCTGCACTCATAAGTTTAAGTCTTGTCTGGAAACATTCCCAGGCCCTGGGAACATGATAATGTATGTTAGAAAGCAGCTAGGACATTCCCCAACACTGGGCTGTGCCAAGTCCTGTTCTCCCACACAATTCCCAGGTTTGTGAGTCGCACACCATTGGGATTCACACAGGGCAGTTCAGATGCAGCCACCCTGCCCTGGCACCTAAAAGTTAAGGATATGGACAAGGCAGTCCTGAGCCAGTTGGCCACAGTGTCTGGAAACATTTCCAGGCACGTTTAATTTATTAGGATGGAGGCAGCCAAGATGTATCACCATTTCACCTTTAGTAAGCAGACTGCCCTCAAACTGAAGTCTAAAAGCACCCTTCAGGCTTCATATTTTACCAAACAAGGGTGTTTGGTTTTGAACTCGCTGTATACCACAGCAGTGGTAAGCCACCATGTTTCCAAAATATATTTTGGCTCCTGCATCCAAGCTGTACTTAAATCTTTCCTGTGTAGACAGCACTTAAATGTACTCCAAAATACAAGTTTAAAGGTAATATACTTCCTCTCACCAGAGCAGGCACTTTCATTCCAAGGAGCATTATCACTGCTGTTCACAAAACAATTTGTCTGTTGACAGAAACAAGGTCAACTATACAAAAGCTAATATTTTTATCTTTTCAACACTAGCTCAGATTAGCAAATCACCATGTTCTGCGGCCTCCAGCAGACCCAGAGCAAGCTTGCTTGAATATTAGATTGCTTCTTTTGCAGGCCCCACAAAATTAGTGAGTTTATTATCAGGGACTTCAGGGATACAAAGCATCACACTGGCTCAGTTTCCCAGGTGTTTTGAAGTTCTAACAAGAGAAAACTATTTCCTAAATAAAGGAGAGACACTCAATGGATACTTGCAAGTAATAACAACTGCCCTTTGAGACCCAGGGAAAAGTCAAAGTCTAGCAGATACCTGGTTAACCTGCTACACACTAAACCTGGGACAACTCAGTCCTGCTATTCCTATTTCAGAATCTCATAGAAAGGGTCATACAAGTTATTACAGTGTGGAACCAAAGACGCTTCTGTTGGAGCCCTTACCTGAGTCGAAAGGGTTGCAAGGGCTGGTGTATCAACCTGACTTCTCATCTTCTTTTAAGGAGCAGCATCTCAGATGATGCTGTACAATTCTGGTAAGAAGAATCTTTAATGTGGCTATCAGCATGCAGCAGCACACAGTATGCCTTCACTTCTTCCATTTCATCATTTCCTTTAACAGGAAAATCTGAGTTCCAAATAAACCCTTACTCTGGGCGAGAAATTACCTACACAGCAAAGAGCTGTAGCAATACTTCACAGTTTTGAGACAAAGTGCCAAAAACTGCCTTTCTTTAGTAAGGCAGAAAATACTGACACACACAAAAAATGTGGACACAGGAAAAAAACCTAAATATAAAAGATAACAAAAAACTACTTGTAGTGCCTAGTCTACATATCACAGATGATGTTCCCAAACAGCATCAACAGTGCAAACCATCTTCCTGGAGTAACAGTATCTGGAAGAGATAAATGCTCCATCTCTGGCAGTGCTCAAGGCAAGGCTGGACAGAGCCTTGGCCAACATGGTCTAGTGTGAGGTGTCCCTGCCCATGGCAGGGGGCTTGGAACTAGATTATCTTAAAGTCCGTTCCAACCCAAACCACTCTATGCTAAAACTGGACTATCAAGTCCCTAATCAAATACAGGATGAATTCTTCATCTGCACATGAAGAATAAACATGG